AGCAACTCAGGTAGAACGTTCGTGTTGAAGATCTTAAGTTTGGTCTTTGTGCTGTATTGTGCTGACTTCCATACCTTGGCAAGGGATGCAAAGGCGGTCCTGGCTAAGCCTAGCCTTCTCCCAATATTTGCCTCAGTTCCTCCGGTCTTGTCCATTGTGGCACCCAGGTAGAAAAATGTTTCGACCTCTTCTATTTCTATATCATTCAACCTGATGGCACCCTTCTTCTCCCCATTTATTCACATGCTTTTTGTTTTTTCAACATTAATTTTTAGGCCTGTATATTCCGCGACAACATGTAATCTCTTGGTCTTCTCCTGCATGTCGCTGTGTTTGCAGGAAATAGGTGCAAGGTCGTCTGCATAATCCAGATCTTCTAAAGTGGACATAAATTTCCAACGTATGTCTCTCTTCTTATTGTTGGTATTTCTCATTATCCAGTCTACCACAATGATGAACAGGAACCCAGACATAAAAGAACCTTGTCTCTCCTGTCTGTACTTTGAACCAGTCTGTAGTTCTTCCGTTCTCTATGACACAACTAGAACTTCCATCGTATAATTTCTTGATGATATCCACGTACAAGCCCGGAATTCCATACTGCCTTAGTATGTCCCACAGTTTCTCTCTTATTATGCTGTCAAAGGCTTTTTTAAAACCTATGAAACTTATGCACAGTGGTGCTTGCCATTCTATAGATTGTTCTACAATATTTCTATCACATCCAATTCTATTCGAATTGGAGGCTTTTATCGAAGAAAGTGTTAATTTCCCATATTACAAAATCCATAGATCCGCCTATAATCCCTATAATCAATTAGAGTTATTCCCCCTGAGTCAACTTCCGTTAATCCTTTTTCATTCACAGACTATATGAATGAGGTTGGTGCAATTTTAAGGGATAATTTTTTGCAAATTTAGATATTTAGAAAAATAGTTAATGGGTATAATACATATGGATGTTTTTGTTATCTATTTGGTAGTTGTTTGCTGCAATCAATTTAGGAGTATTTATTCATGATTTCCCGATGATCCTTGATTTTATAATGATAATTTTTTCTAGCGTCTGTTGTGGCCATTTTGTATTAGCCGACCACGTTGTATCTATATAAGTTTTCATTAAAACAGATTATATGATGTAAGTATGTGATAAGATATAATGATTATTAAGTCAATTATCTTAATCGTTAGGATTTATATCATATTGCTTTGGCTTAATTAAATTTTCTTTGTTTTATAAATTGATCCGACACGTTTCAGATTTCCATACCAAGGGGAGATAAAAAAAATAAATAAATAAATAAATAAATAAAAATAATAATAATAATAATAATAATAATAATGAATAAATAAATAAATAAAAAATTAGGCTAACTTTATAAAAAGAAATAATAAAGCATGTGAGAATGAGGAGATAATTAATCTAAATTTCTTCTTACAAATATAAAAAATAATATATATATATAAATAAAGAATTTTCTTTTCTTTTCTGAACACGATGCCACCGAGAGCTAAGAAGCGTAGAATGGCTCAACCAGCAGCGACTGCCACACATCAGCCAAGTGGTAGTCAGGCTACGGTGTCTGTGAATTCCCAGACGTACTCGTCGACGGCGTCGGCAGGATGTCCAGTACATGTACCAATACCACCGACCCAGGCTCCATCAACTTCCGTTGTGGCGGAAGCGCAACCCATGTTGACGACAAGTGCAGGGCCATCCTTTGCACCGACCACCTCTGGAGCAACAATCTCAACTCCAACAGATGTTGGTACCACCCCTGCTCCTGTCCCATCAATACATATGATTGGTATGAATGTTTCTAGCACAGTCAAACAACGTATTATTAGTGGGCAGTATATTGATTTGGCCACATTGGTAACACCAAAATCAGGGTCTGATGAAAAGAAATTAGTTATGAATAGTATGGGCGAGATAATTTATAAAGATGCCAACCCAAAAAAGGTAGAAAATATTGAGCAATGGACTGACCTTATGCTCATATTTGCAAGTGTGTACTTGAGTGCACATCCCGCCAAGACTCTTGACCTACTTAAGTACATACAGACCGTAAGAATGGGTGTTAGCAGGGGGGCTATATCTTGGAAAGAATATGATACGCAGTTTAGGCTGCGCAAAGAGCAAAATCCTGTGTCTTCTTGGGGTGAAATTGACTCGGAATTATGGTTGATGTATATGCATTCTGGGCCCGCTTATAACGTAACAAATGCACCCAAAACCAATAATGATAAATGCTTCAATTTCAATTACAAGGGATCTTGTGACAAATTCCCATGCATGTATAAACACAGTTGTATTCGATGTGGTAGTAACCATCCACAGATACATTGCCTTACACGAGCCTCAAACACTGGGTCCGCACAAATATTTCGCCAACAAAATTCAAGTGGTCAATTCTATGGACAGTCAAGTTTTCGTCCACAAACCACCAATGCAAATACCAACTATAAGGGGTATTCAACCAATGCAAATACCAATTATAGGGGGTATTCCAGCAGCAACACCCAGCGCCCCACCTACTCAAGACCAAGATTCCGCACCCCGCAATCTATGGCGTCTAGGTTCAACGCCTATTAATGTACACGCCCTTAAAAAATGTCTCGTCCACTATCCTAACAGAATCATAGCAAATCGCCTAATCCAAGGGTTCTCTCAAGGGTTTAAACTTCATTATCATGGGCCTAGATTACCAATTCAATGTAATAATTTGAAATCCGCGGACGATCATCCTAATGAACTTAAAGAGAAAATCGATAAAGAAATTGAAATGGGGAGGATACAGGGTCCTTTCACGAAAATACCAATTTCTAATCTTAGGTTATCTCCAATTGGGTTAGTGCCGAAGGGGGATAATTTGGGCTGGCGTCTAATAACGCACCTCTCTTTCCCGAAGTTTAGTAGTGTAAATTCATACATAGATCCTTGTGAAACTGCTGTACAATATTCATCCTTTGATTCAGTGATTCAGATGATTGCTAAATTAGGGAAGGGGGCTTTCATAGGTAAGCGAGATATAAAATCCGCATTTCGACTTCTTCCAATATTTCCCGGCGATTTTGATCTCCTGGGTTTTAAATTTCAGGGTAATTATTTCATAGACAAATGTTTACCTATGGGGTGCTCCATTTCGTGTAAGGTTTTCGAGGATTTTTCTACAATTTTGCAGTGGGCTACGATACAGCGCTCTAAAACATCAACAATGGATCATTATCTAGATGATTTTATATTTGCTGGGAGGGATGCCCATTCCTGTCAAGATCTTATGTCGAATTTTCAAGACGTCTGCGATGATATAGGTGTTCCTATTGCCGAGGACAAATCTGAAGGCCCTACTATGGTTATGACATTTTTAGGTTTTGAGATAGATACTTATCATATGCTAGTTAAGATCCCCAATTCAAAATGTTTAGAGCTACAGGGTATTTTAAACCATCTCGTTGTTCAACGCAAGATGACACTCCAACAATTACAATCTGTTTTAGGTAAACTGAATTTCTTTACAAGAGCCATAAGACCAGGTAGGGCATTTCTGCGTCGGCTTTATAATGCTACAATAGGAGTTTCAGAATTACATTATCACATAAGGATAACTCAATCAATGCGACAGGACTTGTACATGTGGATTAATTTTCTTGAATCATTTAATGGGACTGTGTATTTTTTAGATATTGAGTGGACGTCAGACAACAACATTAATTTTTACACAGATAGTTCCGGTTCGTCTTACTTGGGATGTGGTGCTTATTTCAAAGGGGAATGGTGTTTTTACCCTTGGCCAGAGACCTGGGCGTCCAATGACCTACTTAAAGACATGACCTTTTTAGAGTTAGTTCCGGTGGTCTTGGCCGTCTATTTATGGGGTAACAAACTCGCTAATAAAAAGATCATTCTCCATATAGACAATCAAGCTGTAGTCGCTATAATAAATAAACTCACTTCTAAATCAGAGCGGGTCATGAAACTACTTAGACCATTTGTCCTTGCTTCTATGAATTATAATATTCTGTTTCGTGCAGTTTACATACCAAGTAAAGACAATGTAGTTGCTGATTCAATTTCTCGTAAGCAGTGGGCCAGATTCCGACAAGCAGCTCCACATGCCAGGGAACACCCTTGCCCAGTGCCCCTATCTTTCCGCAACATCATCTCCAGCCTGAGTTTGCTAAACTTTTAGACGCCTCAGTATCTGAAAACACACATAAATCTCATCGGGCTGGAATGGCAGCTTATTACAAAGTATGTAGACTCATTGATTGCACGCCATGGCCCCCTACATTAAACTCAGTCGTGCAATTCGTTTTGCATTCATCATCATCCGGCCTCGCATATGGTACCGTGAGGTCATACTTGTCTGCCATTTCATTTTATTGTAAATTGCAGAGTGTTCACGATCCAACCCCAGAGTTCTTGGTTACAAAGTTATTGCAGGGCATGAAACGTTTGAGACATAAAGTAGATACTAGACTGCCAATAACGAAAACAATTTTGCTAAATATTATTCAAGTTCTGCCCATAATATGTACCAATGCTTTTGAAACAGCTCTTTTCTCGGCTGCATTTTCCCTGGCATTTCATGGATTTTTAAGAGTTGGCGAATTAACAGTTAATACAAGAGAAGGTGATCAACAAAACACAATTCAATTCGACAATTTGTCCATTAATCACGAAACGCAATCTCTCTTACTGACTATCCGGTATTCGAAAACGGACCAGTTAGGTAAAGGCACAGTGCTTCAAATAGATAAGCAGGGTGGTGTAGCATGTCCATATCAGCTCATTACTAAATACGTCAGCATCCGTCCAGAGGGTTCAGGTCCATTATTTCGACACTTCGATTTATCCCCACTCACACGATATCAATTTACGGGGGTACTTTGTAAGGCAGTAAAGCACCTAAATTTGCCTGGTATCTCAGGATACAAATCTCACTCTTTTCGTATCGGCGCGAGTACTGATCTCGCGTTAAAAGGATTTTCAACTCATGACATTCAGAGATCTGGTCGTTGGAAATCTGATTCTTACAAATCCTACATTCGCATACCAAAGTTTTAATTTAATTTTGGATATACAGACAATATGGTTGGTGGGTTCATCAATAATCAAGCACGCCTTTTTGGAAGCTGTATTAAGACCAGGTGGTACAAATTTGACATTAGAAAGAAAACACATCTCACTGTGGTGGCAGGGTTATAGTGGCCTCCAGTTAAGTAAAACTAAACAAAAGATTAGAACTCTTGGAAAGGTGGGCCCTGTACCTAATTTCATCCTTATACATTGTGGGGGGAATGACTTGGGCAATGTATCGATCAGAAAAATAAGGGTGGTTGCAAAGCAGTTGGTTTTATTTCTAAGGAATCACTTTCGAAACAGTAGGATTATATGGTCATTTATACTTCCGCGTCTCCAATGGCGCTATTCAGCAAATTTAAAAGCTATGGAAAATGCACGCAAACGGGTTAATTCTGGTATAGCTGCAATTGTCTTGCATTCTGGGGGCGCAATAATTCGCCATTCAGACATTAAACCTGATCCAGCTTTATTTTTACAGGATGGGGTACACTTATCCTCGTTGGGGAATAACATTTTTCTAAACTCTCTCCAGGGGGGACTTGAGGCTATCGTTGCGCATGGTCAATCCTGCTTTCCCAATTAGCAAGGGTCCTGGGTACGGCTGTTCGTATATGCCGCTCTACCCCCACCATGGTGGCGGAGTTCCCTGGATGAGTTTCATTCTGATCCTCATCTCAGGGAACTTGTGGCGTATAAGCGGCATTTTGGTAATTATATTGTAAGCTTTGACCTCTGCACCTCCCAGGGTCAATGCTTTCTATATATATATATGGTGAACTTTGAACTTTGATGTTGTGAACTTTGAACTTTTGATGTTGTATGAACTTTGACTTACCACTATATGAACTTTGACCTTTGGTAATGACCTTGATATATGATTTGCTTTGATGTTGAATGTTGTTTGTGCATTTGATTGGGGCATGCTCTTGTCTTGGCTGCCCATTGCCCATATGATATTGTTTGTTTTGCATTTGAAACTAAATAACAGCCGTGCCCATAATATCGCCACACTTTAATAAAATTAATTTCAAGTTACCATTTGTTTGAGTTACACTTTTCTGAGATAATATCACATCCAATTCTATTCGAATTGGAGGCTTTTATCGAAGAAAGTGTTAATTTCCCATATTACAAAATCCATAGATCCGCCTATAATCCCTATAATCAATTAGAGTTATTCCCCCTGAGTCAACTTCCGTTAATCCTTTTTCATTCACAGACTATATGAATGAGGTTGGTGCAATTTTAAGGGATAATTTTTTGCAAATTTAGATATTTAGAAAAATACCCTCCTCACCCAACCCTTATTCGAATAGATTTTTGCGCTGTGTTTTTCTTTCTATTGCAGCTGTCCTACAAAAGGATCACTTAATATCAAATGGTACGGCTGTTACAGGAAAAAGTCTACCTGGAGACCAACTTAGATGAACTTTTCGCAAACCTTGGCCACTGCTCCTCCCAGGGCCAATGTTTCCTAAACAGTGACTGATATATAAACGACAAGTAAAGAAGGCACATAAGCGGCATGTAATTCGTAATAAATATATCGTAAATATCACCTCTGGCGTATAAGCGGCATTTTGGTAATTATATTGTAAGCTTTGACCTCTGCACCTCCCAGGGTCAATGCTTTCTATATATATATATGGTGAACTTTGAACTTTGATGTTGTGAACTTTGAACTTTTGATGTTGTATGAACTTTGACTTACCACTATATGAACTTTGACCTTTGGTAATGACCTTGATATATGATTTGCTTTGATGTTGAATGTTGTTTGTGCATTTGATTGGGGCATGCTCTTGTCTTGGCTGCCCATTGCCCATATGATATTGTTTGTTTTGCATTTGAAACTAAATAACAGCCGTGCCCATAATATCGCCACACTTTAATAAAATTAATTTCAAGTTACCATTTGTTTGAGTTACACTTTTCTGAGATAATTAGAATGTAAATCTGTTCTGACGTTTTCTTCCTCTTCTATATGCAGCTGTTCTGGTCTTAGTCTGTCCTCTAATCCATCTTTAATTCTGTCAATCACTATTCTGCAAATACTTTAGATGGCACTGACAATAGTGATATTCCTCTAAAGTTGTCACATATTGTCATTTCTCCTTTCTAAGTTACTTTGACAATGAGCGATCTCTTCCAGTCTGTTGGTATTTCTTGCTCACTGATGATTCTGTTGAATAAATTTGTGAGCTCTGATGTTGAATATGATACGCTCTCCTTTAGTAGCTCCGCATTGATGTTATCTATGCCAAGACTCTTTCCCTTCTTCATTTTTTGGATTGCCTTTTTAACGGCCTCCTCTCTGATTTGTGTCGTGTCATTTCCTTCGATTTCCTTCTCTTGGATGGTGCATCCTTCGGGTTAATCTATTGTTTCTGTTGGGACATTAAGGACCTCCTCAAAATGCTCTTTCCATCTCTCCAATATTTTTCCATCCTTAATGATTAGTTCAGCATTCTTGGACCTTATGCCACTTGTCCTGTTTCTTTTTCTCCCACAAAGCTGCTTGGTCAGTTGGTAAACTTCACTCAGGCGGTTTGTATGTGCTGCATTCTCTGCTCGGTTAGCTACATCTTCCAGATTTTTACTTTTATCAGCTCTTGTTCTTCTTTTCACTTCTTTGTCTTTGGTCTTATATTCTTCTCTCTTAATTTCCTTTATTCCTCCAAATTTGATCTGCTTTCATCTATGGCTGTATAAGTTTCTGCAGTTAGCCAGTCTTTGTGCTTCCTTTTCTTCTGGCCCAGGATCTTTTCTGCTGTTTCATTATATGCTTCTTGTACAAGAGTCCATTTTTCATTAATTGTGTTTTCGTCATCAACCAGTTGCTGAAACCTATTCCTTAGTTCAAGTTGGAATCCTTGGCTTATTTTGGGATCTTTCAACTTTTTGACATCATACATCTTCCTGTTGCTTTCCTTTGGCTTTAAGTTTTTTGCAGAGCTTCATCTTTACTTCCTATTTCTTCCTTTAGTTTTCTGCTTTCATCTATGGCTCTATAAGTTTCTGCAGTTAGCCAGTCTTTGTGCTTCCTTTTCTTCTGGCCCAGGATCTTTTCTGCTGTTTCATTATATGCTTCTTGTACAAGAGTCCATTTTTCATTAATTGTGTTTTCGTCATCAACCAGTTGCTGAAACCTATTCCTTAGTTCAAGTTGGAATCCTTGGCTTATTTTGGGATCTTTCAACTTTTTGACATCATACATCTTCCTGTTGCTTTCCTTTGGCTTTAAGTTTCTGCAGAGCTTCATCTTTACTTTAGCCAGTACTAGATGGTGATCTGAATTGGCATCTGCATCACGCATAACCCTTACATCACATACAGACTTCTTGTATCACCTACATAATTATATATGGGGTTTATGTACCTGGACAGTTGATTCTATACGCAATTGTAGCATGCTATACGTAATATTTACATTTGTTGCATTTTTCTACTAAGCCAACTGTGAAATTGATTTGAAAACCATTTCTCACGCGTAGAAATATACACGGTGAAACTCGTCCTCGATGACGTCACAGTAAGGTTACAGGGACATTGATAAAATAATGTGACGACATAGGGCACTGAGAAATTCATATATTGAGAGAATTGTTAGTACTTTCAAAGTTGTAAAAGGTAAATATAAGTAATGTTTTTAAGTTTTGTGTGAGTTATTGGTGTGTAAATCACACAGAATTTTCACGTAGGCATATTTCATGTTTAAAGCGCGCTAGCCTACGTGCAATTCTTGTGTGATTTACACCAACACCTCCCACTAAACTAAAAAACATTCTTTACACACATGTATTTACTTTTCACATGCTTAAAAGCACCTAAAATATACTCAGTGCCTGAATTTCTCGCTGTCCTATATCGTTTTGTTTTTACTAAATCTCTGTAACCTCATTGTGACGCATGTTTCTCTGTGTATATTTCTACGCGTGAGTATTCACGAAAAAAGTATTCAAATCAATTTCACAGCTGGTTTACACACAGCAAATTTAAATATTCTCTGACGTTTTAGAGGTCCGTGTTTGCTTTGCTCATGATTTGTATTGTTTGAATGGACTTTTGAATTTGAAACTGTTCATTATTTCCATGTATCATAAAATAGATAGTTACAGGAAAAACAGATGGTTTCACGGCTCTCGAATAAGGATCGAGAGAAGTGAATGTAGAACATATTAAATGAAAAACTGGGTAATTAGTGATGTTACTGATATATGCAACCTGAAAATTGGAATTCAATGATGTAAGCTGATTATTGAAAATAATTATTGAACATGTCATGTCCTGAACCATCAAAATTTCTATCTGTAACGATCCAGAACTTTTAAAATAAAGTTGCAGGAAATTAAGATATGAACGCCATTTAAAAGGGTATATAAATACAAGGGGTGATCAATACAATTTTTTTCTGTTTTGCGTAACCACAATTAAGATCGGAATGAATTTTGGCATATATGATCTATAAATACATGTAGCATTGTTGGGGATTATCATACTCATAGACCTAAAGTAGAGGGATATTCTGTGTATGACGTCACGATGTGAAAACAACATCAATATGTAGATGACTTGTGACAAAGATGTTGACTCAGTCTTGCTCGAGCAAGGAGCAATTATATTGTGAATTTGTAAAATCCCTTGCAGAAATATATTTATATACAGTAAAACTCGGTTATAGCGAAGTCCTGGGGACCCGTGAATTTAATTCGCTATATCCGTAATTCGTAATATCCGCATAACGAATTCGTATAACCATACATAGCGAATTCACAATATGCATGTTTTCCTTCAAGTGTTTCTACCAAACATGTTAGGGAAGCAAAACTTACAAAACATACCTTCGATAATTAAGGTTTTATTACGAATTGGATTTTTATATTAAAATGCTAGAAGAATGTAAAGTCAGTTCAATTTATCAAACTTTGAGATCTTTGAAAGTTCATTATAAAAGATATAAATTTCATTATATTTAACCTCAACGGGACTCAAAATCAGTTCGCTATATCCGTAAATTCGTTATATCAGAGTTCGTTATAACCGTAAAATTTTACAAAGATTTGTTAAAAATTTTGCCGGGGTCCCTGAAAAAATTCGCTGTATCCGTGAATTCGCTATATTCGTGTTCGTACTAAACGAGTTTTACTGTATAAATTTGTATCAGCTTTATTGCTTCATCACTTGTTTGTCAATACCTAACCTTGTTTTAGAAAATGTCCGTATGTAGAACATGCTCTGCAGTATCGAATCAAGTGAGAGATATAAACTCTGCATGCAGTTGACACGGGTATATTAGAGCATAAGTAAGGGAATAAGTTTCAACATTAATATTGCAAAAACAAAGATCCTAAGAGTAAACACACCATTACAAACTTTACTGGTTATAGAAGGAAAGGAATTAGAGGAAGTAGAACATTTCACTTACATTGGAACTATAGTGGACCAAGGAGGAACGGAAGCGAACATAAAAGCAAGAATGGGAAAAGCCAGAGTAACATTCTTGCAATTTTGAAACATCTGGAAGACCAAGAGCTCTGCAACACGTACCAAAATTTGACTTAAATTAAACAGCAACATTAAGAATGTACTCCATTTTGGTTTTGAGACATGGAGGATGACTCTCACCACAACAGTGTCCAGACATTCATCAACCTTGCCAGAGACGCATCCTCCAGATAAGATGGCCCGACAAAATCAGCAACATCATAAACCAAGCACCTATAGAAGAAGAAATAATGCAGAGAAGGTGGGGGTGGATAGTGCATACTCTACGCAAGGCCCACAATAACATCACAAGGCAAGCCATATCCTGGAACCCTCAAGGCAAACGAAAGAGATTGATTGTATGCTGTTTTACGTCCCATTCGAGAATTTTACACTCATATAGAGACGTCACCATATACCGGTGAAGGGCTGGCACTCAGGGCCATAGAGCAGTGAGGGATCTCGGTGACCTCGGTTTTTAAGGTCTGATCCGAAGGACCCGCAACTTTTATTTCAAAGTGCCAAGCACATGGCGAAGGAACAGTTGCTACCTATTTTTATCGACTTAGTTCAGTAGCGGCCGAGATTCGAATTCACGGAGCGTGCGCTCTACCGACTGAGCTACCGTGAACGGTGAGAAAGCAAGCATCAAAAGACCGCTTAAGAACTGGAAAGAAATAGAAAGCAATGCACAGGATAGAGGCATAAGTAAGTAAAGTAAGTAAGGGAATATGACGATTGAAAAGTATAAGGCATGACGTTTATCATAAAGCTTTGTTGTTAGATAAATATGAAACGAAGTGTCAGACTCTGTGGTTTCTTTTATTTCAAGCTCATCGGGATATATCGTGACGTGTCGACATAAGAATGGATATAACTATTGTTTAAATTGACAATGCGTCGGTATATCTAAATAAATGTCGAGTTGAATGCCACAGCAATAGTTTCTTCTTTTCACATAAAAGAGTTTGAACAAGTTCTGCTTCATATGAATACAAAAATAGGTAAAATGGGGCACTGGGAGTTCCAGTACATCTTAGGAAGACCTGATCTCCAAAAAAACCCACATAGATATTGTCAATCAGAAACTCGAACATTCGATCCTCAGCTTTCGAGCAGATTTTTGTCTTGACCTCTATTTGAAAATTTCTATATAATATTTGAATTAACACAACGAATTTGGATTCAATAATGCAAATTAAACTATATTTAACTAAAACCCCATGATTAAATTCCATACCGAAAACATTTAGTGAGGAACTATATTTTGTGGCGGAAGCTTTTTTAGAAGAAAAAGATCAATTTTTCTCTTTGAAGTATTCAGTATTGTTTGGATTTCTATTTTTAAATTCAACGTGCACAAAACTTAATTTTGTGCAGTAAAATGTTCTATATTGGTCCTAAATTATATATTAGATTAACTGTCAT